TACGTGTATTAAATTTTGGGTAGCCTCTTAATAGTGGTAAAGCAGTAGGAAACCCTTATCGGGATGACCAAAAGGTGGCCGTGTCCGCTTTATAGAGGTGGCTGGTTGAAAGAGGTTTTACATCGTAATTTTTTATTGAAAACAAAGTTTGGGACTCTGATAACTGGGATGGCCTCTTAACAGATGGCCGCTTAATAGAGGTTTGACTGTATATAAATATAAAAATCAACTACTTAGACGGAGTTAGTTAAAGAAAGTGAGGATTTAATGAAAAACTGAACACACACACACACTTTAAAGTTCAGACATGCTTGATGTCTTGTTCATTCAGTTGTAATTTACTTAAATGACCAGTACTTCTAAAAGCACCTGTTGTGTTTTGATTCTTTTAACATATAAACAGATCAAGTTGTGTTTTTTGTGTGTGCAGAATAACCAAAAGGTCGGGCAGCAGACTGGATCGAATACTCAAAAATTACAGTGCCTGGCCATGTCCACTCTTAACTACATTTAATTAATTCATGTAACTACAGCTCCCACGAAAAGACATCCTTCGATCGATCGTTGAGAAAACCGTATTTGTGAGTCCAAAAGGGGCAACTGCTTCGTAAGACCGCTAAAATGTCTTCTTTTGTTGCGCCGTTTTGGATTTGCTTACGCCCCTCGGGGCTGCGAAACTGCGTGAAAAGCGCTACCGCTTTTAAAAATGAATTTATTGGCTACATATTGAATAATAATAAATCTTACGCTAAGTTCTATTCGGCCATCTTTCTTTGCGTGTTTTAGCCTTTAAAGCAAACAGGATTTGCTATTTGACCCTCGAACTTGGTGACTTGCATGTTGTTTGCTCAATTAATCAACCTCTCCTTACTTCTCTTAAAGTAAGGACAACAACAACTTTGTGTGGCTGAAAATGGGGAAGTGGGTGACAGAGTGCTCAGTTAATATTTTAGCCCCATGAACCCCTGGAGTGTCAAGAAAACAAAACCTACAGCCCAAGGAGATGTAGACAGTG